ATGAGATTGCTTGCCTTTGTGGTGGTTTGACTATGGTGGTAGGTTATGGGGTGAGCTGTTTCCTGAAGGGTACATAGTTGAAATAACTGCACATTAAGCCCCGAAATTGCTGAATTCAATTTCTATTTAATTGACTAAAATGAAAATCAACATATAGAATGTCAGTTTTGAAATCACCGTGCTAATGTGTGATCATTTAACCATTTAATGTGATCATTTAAGCAAAAAAAAAAAAAGTTTAAACAATAAATGAGTTAAAATGCACAATTCAAACAACAGATGAGCTATAGATTACGATCGAATGTGTTGCATGAAGATATGTGCATGCATGATTTTCCTGATTGTCTTGATGTTGTTCTGCAGTGGGTGGAGAATCATCCACAGTGTGGGCGAATGAGACTGGGCGATATGCAGGCCAAACCACACCAGAGAATCACCAAGTACCCTCTTTTGCTGAAAGCTGTTCAGAAGACCACAGAAGACCTCCCCACCAAAAACGCACTTGAAAGAATGGTGAGACTGTGACACAATGGTGATGAATCACGTCATACACTGTAAATTTCATTTGTACTATGTAAAACAAATACTAAGTGCATTATGAAAACAACATTAGTTATTAAATAAATCTTTTTTTTAAGTTTGACAATCCTTTCATGGTGTGACATTTCAAACTCTTGAGCTGCATTGCCTTTGTTATCGTCTTTGTAATCTCTTTCTCTCTCTCTCTCTCTCGAATATGAACTGCTTGCTCAGTCTTTATTCTATCATTGAAGTTAAGGATAAAGATCTGCACTCTTCTCACTCACTGTCTGTTTTTCTCCTGCAGTTGAACAGTGTCAATAATTTTCTGGAATCTATCAATAACTATATGCAACTGAGAGATGATACTCTGGCCCTTTCTGTCGCTGCTCAAAGGATAGAGGGATACAAGATAGAAGGTCTGAGTGAAGAAATAGACAAGGTAAACAAAAAAAATCATCTTGAATACACATAAACTGGACATGCTTTGCTTATAAAAAAAAGTCTGACAAAAAGATTTCAACAATAGCACGTTCGTGAGTTCTGCTGCTTTGATTTGATGAGCCCGGTGAGGGGGGTGGGACCAAACGTCATACGGAAGCAACTAATGGAAGAAACTTTGAAGGTCAAAGTAAGAAAGGACACCAAGGCAAGTGAAAAGACAAACAAGGCGAATGATTTTTGTATTGACCTCAGAATTTTAGCATTCATTTCTGGTTATGTTAGGAGCTTGTGGTCCTTCTCTTCACTGATGTGTTGCTGATGACCAAAATGCAGAAGAAATCAGACAAGCTGAAGGTAGTGCGCCCCCCTCTGCCTCTGGAGAGAATATACTGCATTGAGCTCAAAGATGGATGTGAGTGTGACCACTAACACCAACATTTAACAATCTCACCTGCCTAACAGAATGTTTTAAACTGGGCTCACATCAGTATGATAGGGCAGTTATAGCTTATGGCATGTTTAATGCATATGGGACATATTTTCATGCCCTGGTAATACTATTTTTGTTTTAATATGCCAAAATAAAGCGTTAAACACATTCTAAAATCTGTATATATATTATATACTTTAAACTGTACGATAAACATTTGATACATACATCACATGCATATTATCATATGCACCACACTGTGAGAAAAAAAAATCTGCAGAGAACATTCAGGTAATTTTCTGCCAGGACATTATCAGTTAAGTTTAAGAACATGTATCAACCCTAAAACACAACACAATGCAATGTGTCAATTAAAATACTATCAGTAAAATCAATTGCTTTATATTAACACATTTTTTTCTGACTTGTCTTAGAGTGCTTACCATGTGCAATGGGGTCCAAAAGTCTGAGACCTGAAAATCTAGGTTCACATTTTTATTTAGGCCAGGAAATAAGCATATTTGACCATAAACAAGTTTTAGGATTATAAATAATTTAAAAAACTAAATGTTTAGGAATTCCCCCCTTTTTAGGTCACTAAACAAATAAGCAAATCTGTGACGTTGATCATTCAAACTCCTACAAAAGGTCATGTTTTTAATTTAATTGAAGAACAAGATGTTTGAACATTGTTAAATGATGCTGGTTTTACCTCAACTTTATGTAGCTCGAGTGCTGCTGTCACTAACCAAAAAAAAAAGAAAGAAAGTATTGCTTTCATATTAATATTTTAATGCAACTTTTCACTCAAATTGTTGTGCTAATACAATAGTGTGTAATAATTTAAAAAAATAAACAAAAAAATAGCATTGGTTGATGCCTTATACTGTATGTTATCATATATTGATGCACTAGTTATATTAGTATAGTCAATGGTATTTATATGCTAGTATGTTGTTTGAATGCTTGTAGAAATTTGTAAATCAGGTTGTTTTAATCTATGTATACTGTAATGTAACAAAGAGAGTCTCAGAGAACTTTAAATGCAGTGCTTTTATTAAAGTCATAATGATGAAGGTACAAAAAAGCAATGCCACAAGACAGAAACCTAAAAGTGCAATACACTGTAGCAAAATCACGAAGACACAGAATGCATTACACTCAACCAGTCAGTTTCAAAATGCATATTGATTTTCCACATGGAAAAAGCTTTCAAATAGTTCTGTTTTATGTAATCTAGCATATTATAATTAGCATGTCATTGCACAGCATGGCATATTACTTGATGTGCTGGTTTCTAATTGGGCTTTATGAGAATAGCTCCACCTGGGTGTGTCAAATACCTGCTCATACAAGTCCTGGTACATTGTCACAAAAGATGCAATTGAGAATTCAAACATGCAAATTGCCTGAAGTTGTATATACTCTGGTGCACATTATAACCTCAAGAGAACTTAAGTAGAACAGAAAAGTTTTTTTTTTTGCTATAAATATTTATTTTATGATACTAGTTTAACTCTCATACGGTGTCTATTTCTCCCCTCTTTGCTCTGTCTGGTAGATTCGTTTGTGCTGGTGGAGGTTGGTGATCTAGGTTGTGCTGTCAGTGTGAACTTCCTGTCCACACCCAGTCCAGACAGCTGCGCGTCATGGGTGTCTGCTCTGCGTGAGACTCAGGTACTTGCATTCCTCTTGCAGCAAACACACTCGACACCAGTGTGACACGATGTACAAACCAAACCCTGAAGAAATGTAATTTGTTTTTTCCAAAATGAGCACTTTGTACCACCTTCTACCTTTGGCACTTTTGGTGCAAAACAGGGTCTGTTATGAAGTAATTTTTTTCCTTATGACCTAACTAGGAAAGTGTTGACTGTTGATCTTAGGATCTGCTCAAACTAATCTATATCCAGTTTATGTATTTATTTGAGTTTTATTTTCCATTTATTTTAAATGAGGTTTTGCTCATTTTTTTCAACCCTGTTACCACAGATCCTATGAATTCTATTAATAATCTTTGAATTAAAATCTAAATTAAATAGACAAAACAAATGAAATTAAATAATAGTAATAATAAACTACACCAGAATGGGTAACAGGGTTGAAAATCTAGCCTAAATTACACTGTCACTCAGTTATTGTTAAACTTACATTTACTAAACTAAAGTAAATATATTTGTTTGATTGTTTATTATTAATTAAGTAACAGAGTTGAAAGTAACAGGGTTGAAAATTTACCCAACAATTAAGCCTCCACTCAGTAGGGGCCTATAAGTTTGAGCCTCACAAATGCAGTCAACATTACAATTTGTTGAATTTGAGAACATGTAATGATATTATTTACTTTTTTTACTCCATGTTTTAAAAAGTAACTAATGATGTTAAATAGTTTTGTATTTGGGGAAAATCATGCAGTAATAGAGGAGCATGTATAATGTGGGAAACAGGTAATGCCTATGTTACGCTGTATTTACATTTTATTTATGTTTCTGGTAATCAAATCTCTGAGGAGAAAAACGTGGGTGCATCTAATGCTTTCTTAAAAAGTAATTGCAATGGACACTAACTGTATCATGGAAAGTGACTTTTATATACCATAATAGACTTTATGTGCAGTATTTAAGTTTGTGAGCAGAATACTGTATCAGAAAGTCAAATATAGTTGAATAGTTTGTAACTATAAACTGGTTCTTATTGATGATCACAGGCAGCCTTAGAGACTTTGAGGAAAAATGAGACAAACAAAACACTGAAGACAACAAGTGCGACAGAGTTTGGTGAATCAAACAGACCTCCCATTCAGGACGAACTGTCTGTAAAAGTCACAGAGGATCCTGATGGCCAATCAGTATCTGATAGATCTGATAGTGATATTGAGGCAGCTGAGTTGGTGAGGCCATTTCCTTTCCCTAGGTGCAAGTCTGAGACAGAACTGTTGATGGATGTAGAGCAAAGTAAAGTTCCGCAGCTGGCAGAGGATAGGAACTCTCCACTGATTGGTCAACGGAACGATCCGAGCCAATCAGCTCATGAAGAAGTTGCGGCAAAGACTGATTCAGCTGGATTAAAAACCGAAGAAGGGAGAAACAGGTATTATAGTCAGCAGTTGACAGAGGAAGAAATATCAGAAAGGCGAGTTACATGGGAACGTGGACGACGATCATCTGCAAATGACATTACACAACAGGACTTACCTGTAAGAAACCAGTCGAATGGATCATACTCATTGTTTCCTGGTGGAGATGTGGAGAAAAATGCCACTTCTAGCCAATCCCTGCCAAGCACTTCTGCATCAAACAAGCCTCTAATAACTGCATCAACATGTGGGGCAATTGTAGAAACAGGGGAACCAATGCATCAGGATTCAGATGATGACTCTCAAGAATTCAGGAGGAACTCTTTGTACAGTCAGTCAGGAGATGACGAGGGGTTCCTCATAGAATCAGAGAGGTTCTCCAGGGAACTGAAGTCTCCTCTCATTCGGAGGAGACGTGCAAATAATTTGCAACCATCTGTTCCCTCTCATAGTTCCAGGACAGATGTGAACGGATTGGAACTTCCCTCCAATGGAAACCAGAGAAGAGCATCCAACCCTTGCTGGACTGCTACAATTATTTGCATTTAAAGCACACATCCACATAGGCATCTGGCATAAACACACACACACACACACATTTACACACACACTGGCTTCGGATCACCAACACAAGCTTCAGCCATTTTTGCCCCGCTCCTCCCTCTCTGCTCTCGTTCAGTGGCAGCCTGATGGACGATGGTTTCCATTGCAGGGTAAAGAAGGATCGTTTTCTTCTGTAAGGAGGAATAAATGGGATGAAAATGAGAAATGAGCTACAAATAACTCACACTAAATCTATTTTAGAGAGCTGTCTTCTGCAGTATTGAAATAGACTTAAATAGACAAAAAGACTGAAATGTACCCGGCGATAGTTTCTGTACATCTGGAACAAAATCAGGAATATCACCAAGAACAAAAACCCTAATCCCATCACCATAGCAGTTTTGTTGCCAGAACTTGAATTTCCGCTCTTTACAGCACCTGTAGAAATGAACAAAACGGAGAATCAGTGAAAATGCAGTGCTTCTAATTTCAGCTCCTGATTCTACAAATGTTCTGAAAAGTCGGTTTGTACTATTTTATCATTTTTGGATTCACAGCATGCTGCTTTTATTTATTGGCATGTAAATGCTCATGCAAATATAATTTCCTTTACTGTAATATTACTGCTCTACCTACCCATCACATGAATTTGATAAGTCACGTTCCCCAGAACGCCTTGCTTCCCATAGAAGCGACACACCCATTCACCAGCATCTTTCTCAGTCACTTCTTGAATCCTGTAGCTCTTTGTCTTTTGCACAGAGGTCACTGTTTGAGTGTCGTTTGGTCCGTAAGTCACACGGAGCCATTCATAAGAAGTGATCTGGCTGGAGTTGCTGAGATGGCAGGTCAAGGTCACGGGTCCATTCCCGCTGGATGACGAGGATCTCGAAACTAAACATTAGAATTCAGAGAGAAATTCAGCATTCAGCAAATTCAGAATCCCACAAAACAGAAATGAACACCATTTTGATGATTAAAGGCCGATTCTAAAATGATTTAATTGCTGATAACTGATTTATGATATAGAAACTTTTTTTTTAAATGAACAGCTGTTAAAAATATTTTATGTATTATTATTATACTGAAACTACATGCAATTTTATGTAGGTTAGTTGCATCTATCTTTATGTGAAATTCAGCTGAAAAAATAAATAAATAAACCACTTCACCCACTTCGCACAGTATTCTGAGTCTTCTCGTGATATATTATTCCACTCACCTCGAGTTACAACTAGCTCCATCCTTCTTTGTACTTTAATTCTCCCTCTATTCAATCCCTTCATCATTCCTGAGCATGTATACATCCCTTCATCTCCATCCTCCACTCTCTGTATAGTAGCTGATGCTGAGGGCCCAGCAGACTCGCTGAAAGATGCAGGGAGAGGAAGACTAGAGTATGATGTTGTGGAGGTTCTCCTCCACATCACAGTGTACGGGATCAGACCATCAGTAAAGACACAGGGCAAGGAGACGGAAGAACCCACAGCAGCGTACACCACTGAAGAGTCATCCTGAGGGGCGGCGATACCTGGAAAACCAACGGATAAGGTGGATGAGTAATTGTTGCAGACGTTATTTTAAAGAAGCTGGTATTTAAAACAACACTCACCTTTGACCTGTAGGGATGTGGTTGCCTCTACTACCCCACCGTTGTATGCAACCCGACAGGTCCAGTGTCCCGCATCTCTTTGAGACACGTCGGAGAGGCGGGTTAAACTAAACATTAGAATTCAGAGAGAAATTCAGCATTCAGCAAATTCAGAATCCCACAAAACAGAAATGAACACCATTTTGATGATTAAAGGCCGATTCTAAAATGATTTAATTGCTGATAACTGATTTATGATATAGAAACTTTTTTTTTAAATGAACAGCTGTTAAAAATATTTTATGTATTATTATTATACTGAAACTACATGCAATTTTATGTAGGTTAGTTGCATCTATCTTTATGTGAAAATAGGCCTTTTGCCTTATTTTTAAAATCACGTTCATAGAAATTCAGCTGAAAAAATAAATAAATAAACCACTTCACCCACTTCGCACAGTATTCTGAGTCTTCTCGTGATATATTATTCCACTCACCTCGAGTCACAACTAGCTCCATCCTTCTTTGTACTTTAATTCTCCCTCTATTCAATCCCTTCATCATTCCTGAGCATGTATACATCCCTTCATCTCCATCCTCCACTCTCTGTATAGTAGCTGATGCTGAGGGCCCAGCAGACTCGCTGAAAGATGCAGGGAGAGGAAGACTAGAGTATGATGTTGTGGAGGTTCTCCTCCACATCACAGTGTACGGGATCAGACCATCAGTAAAGACACAGGGCAAGGAGACGGAAGAACCCACAGCAGCGTACACCACTGAAGAGTCATCCTGAGGGGCGGCGATACCTGGAAAACCAACGGATAAGGTGGATGAGTAATTGTTGCAGACGTTATTTTAAAGAAGCTGGTATTTAAAACAACACTCACCTTTGACCTGTAGGGATGTGGTTGCCTCTACTACCCCACCGTTGTATGCAACCCGACAGGTCCAGTGTCCCGCATCTCTTTGAGACACGTCGGAGAGGCGGGTTCTACTTGTGAATATGCCATTTTGTTTCCAGTTAATGCTTACAAAATGTGTCCCAGGACTGATATCGCACTTTGCCTCCGTTATTAAGCCTTCAACCACTATGGCAGGAGAAAATGACGCTGTGAAGAAAGAGAAAATATTACCGATAAGGCTTCCGGAAGACAGCCAATGGCTTAAGAAAGAAGAAGTGACAAATTCTTGGTTATTACCTCTTACAACTCTGAGATTGATGACCTTCACCATCTGAGTCTTTCCTTCAACTTCACAGACATACTTTCCTCCATCTTCGATTGTTGTTTCAGTGATGTGAAGGCTGTAATCAGACTTTCCGAAGTTCGAGATGGGGCAGTTAGCCCGTGGTGAGTCTCTAACCGGACGAAACTCTAACCCGTTCTTATCTCGTCGCCAAACCGTCTTCAGCACACTAGGATATTGAGAAAGAGAGCAAGACATTAAAATGCTATTGCTTTTGTGCCGATATATTTGACTAATAGATTGTCAGGTTTTGGATAATTGTGTTTATGGATGGATGGATGAAATGATCTTACTTTCCAACTATCCTGCTCCAGTAGACTGCAGTAGGATGTGAGATCGCAGAAGTCTCGTCTACACATGGCAGCACTGCGACAGAACCCTGAGCTACAAACACTTCACGTTCCTGGCACTGACTACCTGCAGAACACAGAAAGATTGCACATTTAAATCTACAAGAAGATAGAATTTCAAATGAGGTGAGAGAGATAAAACTATATTTTACTCATTCATGGTACTCTAAAATGACACGCTCACCTTCAAAAACCAGCGCTAGCCCCAGAACCATCAGGAAATGTGTCTTATTCATGTTTAGCTCTTCCAAGCAGATCAGTAAATGTGTGCCGTCTCTGGTCTTTGTTCTTGAATTTATAGTGTTGTGGGTGGTTGAGTGGGTTGGTAGGAGTTACTCGCTGTAGGTAGTTCCTCTTCTTCTCTGCTTCTCAACATCACATGACTTCTGAAGATGCATGTAGTGAAACTGTTGATGTGCGGTCTGACTGACGTACTTTGGAAAAAGTTAGAGAGAAAGAGAGACACTGAGAGAGTAATAGAATGAGGGAGAGGCAACACTTTGAGGGTTAATTCTCCCACGGATTCACCAGGTCTATCTTGAATTTTCTCTCACCACGTGAAAATCTTTTAGCTGAAAGTATGTCAAACTTCAAAGAATGGAAACAAATGTGTTGATATAAAACAAAACAAAAAAAAAGCAATATGGAAAATTTACACAGGCAAGAATGTCTCTATAAATAATTAGGGTACTACACCTATGTAATTGAAGTTATCTGCATAGCGCTTTGCACAATACATATCGTTTCAAAACAGAAAACGCATGCACTGTAAGAAAAACAAATTGCATAGAAAACCGATAATATCCTGGATGAAAATTATTTTGTTAAATTTGCAGACATTTCCTTCAACCCTAAAATACCACACAATGCACTGTCATTCAAAATATGTAATTAAAAAATCAAGGCACAAAATTCCTTCACATTTACACATTAGGCTGTAGTTTTTACAGACTTTTTTAGAGTATGTATGTATCATTATTAGTAATAGTATTTGATATTTTTATTTCATTTTCACATTTACACCTTTACATAAAAGATTTTTGCATGTCCCTATACTATTTTCCTGTTTAACACTGTAAAGCTGCTTTGACACAACCAGTATTGTATAAAGCGCTATACAAATAAAGGCGACTTGACAATATTTTTCATGTATAATCTTTTATACATATATATATATATATATATATATATATATATATATATATATATATATATTTGCCATGGTTTTTCTTGCATGCACATACAACATAAATAATTTAGGCAACATACACAAAATTTATGCTGTTTTAGCATGCAGTTAAATTCATGCCAAGTTTGTGGATGATGCAAAGCATGCACAATCCACAAAAAAGTGTGTGTGTGTGTGTGTGTGTGTGTGCGCGCGTTTTTGTGACAAATGAGGACATAAATTTGTATAATGACAAAGGTATGACATAGGTATTACAAGGAGAAGGTGACTTTTCAGGACATTACCCCATGTCCCCACTTTTCAAAACGCTTATAAATCACACAGAATGGAGTGTATTGAAAATCTGAAATAGCACAAAGTTTAGGGGTAGGTTTAGGGGTAGGGTTGGTGTAGGGCAATAGAATATACGGTCTGTACAGTATAAAAACCAAAAACCATTGTGTGTGTGTGTATATATATATATATATATATATTATTTTACAATATTAAACAACAATGTAATGAAACCTTTTCCCACCCTAAACCAGTGGGTAAGAAACACAGATGGCGTGTGTAATTTTAGCCTGCACCATGGCATCATTGTTTGTTTATGTGGTTGTGTAAGTGCTGTTTTCTGTTCTGTCAGCCTAGTATCAGTCCTGAGCTTCGGAATGCATTTGATTCAGCCGTTGATATGCGGATGTGCGATCAGCATATTCTAAAACAGCACCACTTCCAGTAAAGGCAGAGAGCCTGTGTGCGAGTGACATGAATATGGGGGTTGGAGTTGTTTTGATGAAGAAAAGAGCTTGTGGCTGACTCAATCGCTCCCCTCCCATTTTTGCTCTGTTTTTCACTCCTCCTATCTGTCACAAGCCAGTTCAAGAAATAGTATGTTTTGTAGTTTTTAGTATGCAGTGTACGACTCTCATAACCTGAAGCATTTAAACATCAAATTTCCTTCCTTTTTGTAAAGTGAATGATCTAAATGTGTTTACTAATGGATTTGTGAAGTTCTCACTGGTGTTCTAGTAGAGTAACAACAGTTGTTAATCATCACATTAACTACAGGTGTTATATTAACATTTGGCGACCATAAAGAGTCCAAATACAATTTTAAAACATGATTAAGTTCTTGATATCTACCTATATAATGCATAATTTTTAACATTTGGATTTTTCTGAGGGCGCTGTACACCAGCTCGGTGACGTTAAAACTTTTAGCCAAGTGGAAACAGTAAGCTGGCTGTTGAATATGCAAATATGTAAATCCATGGAAAAAGCAGCAGGTAGGTATGCCTTCATGAGGTAAAGTATGGGAGGATAACCACAGATCTTGAGACTCTTTCATTCTGAGATTCTCATCGTTTCCTTCCTTTGTGTATCTTGTGAGTTTTCATGCCCATTAGGCCCCCATTGCACACAAAAAAACATCCAAATATCAACCTTGGTCGACGTGAACCACTGCTATCTGGGACATGTTGTGGTTACATACAGCACACAGATATCAGCGTTCACTTTCATGCTCTCCGTCTCTTCAGATCAGAGGGGGTGAAATGAGAGTGTGATGGGGTCTTTCCTATTCACTGTATGTGGCTGATACAGCTGATTTGAATAACAGGAGAGCTGGGGAAGACCTATGTGAGCCCCTGATGTGGAAAAAAGAGACTGTCACGAGTGGGTTATATTAGCATGCAGATAGCAGCGAGAATGGAACATATTAACACTGATTATGCTTGATGGAGGGATTATGACAGAGATATTACATATTCCTTCCCCACTGACCCCATCAGTCATTTTCTCAGAAGAACAGACACCAACATTCTCCAGATTCAGGTGTCTCACTTTCAAGCCTTTGCTTTCTTGAACATGGATACGCTGAAGGAAATTATTATTTAGAATGATTCGAATGCATATTTAATTTAAAGTTAAACATACTTCAGCAATTATTAAATGCATTTTCCACACGGCGATATTAAATATGGCAATTTTAGTGACAGTAAGTGGCAAGTAGCAAAAGTTCTTACTAAAGTTGTCTCTTAGTATTGTAGTTTTTCATTTTAAAACCATAAAATAATTTTTACTTTGCCTGAAAATGGAAATATTTATTTATTCATTTAAATACAAAAAATACTGTATATATACTGGTAATTTTCTGTCAGGACGTTATCTGTTAACACATTTCTTTCAAGCCTAAAACACAACACAATGCAATACGTCATTAAAATAATAATTTAATAAGGGTAAAACAAATATATGACAAAATACATATATTAACAAAATACAGGTTTATGGGAAGATTCTTGTGTTAATTTTAGAAGAAAAAAAGAAAGGTTGCAATTGTTAATTATAAAAAAAAAACAAAAGTGGTAGTGTGATAATTTACAAGATGTCCATTATTTTTGGGGATTCAATTTGTAAATATATGTATGATTAAAAAATGTTACATTAGATTTTAATTATATTAAATATTTAAGAGTGCATTCAGAATCAAATGGGTATTGTACGAGGCCTTATTTGCATATTCATAAAAACCCACTGATATTTTATTCAGAATGCCATGCAAAGTGTGGTTCAAAAGAATTTGTTATTTAGTGTATTACAGCCCCTTTTTAATAGCCAAAGTTCCATGAAAGCCAACAGTGGATTAAATGAGCTCACAGTTTCATTCAACACTTTGAATCACACATTGCATTTCTCTATAGAGCTGTCAAAACGGAAGTTTATAGAATAGATGAATAGATAATCATCACATGCAAAGCATACGAGTCTCTGAGCGTCTGTCTGTCAGCAGATTTGTCTGCCACTTACCGTCTCTTACATCATGGCATAGATCCGTTTCATCTAGAAAGTTTTGTCCTTATATAGAAGAGCCCAAAACGTGCTGTAAACTCAATGGACTTCAATGTGATTTCTTAAAGGGCTTTACAGTATGAGAACCTGCTATTCACAAGGGCTTTATATTACATCATTTAAAAACATTTCGAGATAAAGTTTGAAATTATCAAGGTGGAAATTCAGATATTAATATTCATTGTTGGTTATCATGGCACCATCAAATGTGGCTGAAACTGCTCCGATCTTTCTATTGAAATGTTTAATTTGTCCTCTGTGTACTGGAAGTAGCAACCACAGATTTGCAGATCAAAGGCAGTCTGTTTCTAAAAAAAAAAGTTTACTCACCAATAGCAAAACTCCTTTGAATACTGGCCAAGCACTTCACCCAATTTTTTGTTTCCTCATACTGTCACTCATTTAAGTTGCACCGTTTTTCTTCTGCATTTGCACGGTCATCCTACAAATGTTTTTAATATTTTTGCATTTTAATTGGTCATTATTTTTCCTACAGCTTCCTCTCAAAAAACTCTGTGGAGTGATCTGCATTAATTGAATTAATTCTGTACTCAAAACTGTAATTCGTTTAAACTAGAGGTTTAAAAACTACCAATCCTGAATTCATTACATGCATATCTTTTCTAGATGGCAAGCTGACATGCCATAGAGTGCGACAGACTAACTTTAAAACTGGACAAGAAGTTTATTGGCTTACATAGAGACAGTCTGTAAAATTTTTACTTTTAAATATAAATTTTGCCAAAGACAAACTACCGAAATATGCTGCAAAATATTAGGTGATTAAAATAGCACAGAACTTATCTAAGATTTAAAATACTTCTTCCTCATGACTTTATAAAACTTTAAGCTAAATTACATATTTGTACAAATTTCTCTCACTCAAAAATTTCCCATAAATGTTTAACACAAACTGCTTGGAGCTTGTTTTGTGCAAATGTACGTGCAAATTAAAATGGAAAATTCAAGGTTCAGACAAGGTTTGTGCGCATTTCCTCTGACATTAACTTCTTTTAACTTGACAATCATAATTCTTAGTGATCTTCGAGTTAATTCTGAAACTGTATTGGAAACCATGTGCATACGCACATGTAACCTGGCAGTTGTCAACAAAACATTTCATCATTAGGTTTGCTTTTTCCACCTGATGTGGTTAAGTCACAGTCATTTCGGTGCATGTAGGGTGTCAATTTCAGTTAAGAGGTTTAAAAAAAAAAAAGTCAGAAGCTGCAAAATACTTGAAGCATTTTGAACGGAGCATAAAATGAGATGAAGCAACTCCAAAAGACTGTATTTGGAATATTACCCAATCTTTATTTGCATTATAATATCGAATACAAAAAGACAGATCTTTAATTTTTGTATCCTCGGCTGGCTCTGCGACCACGGGCACGCTCAAACTTCCTGCCTTTGGAGCGCACATAGGGCCTAGAAGACAGAGAAACATACTGTGAGTTAAAGGGTTCATCAAAATGATCAACTTACATCAAACAAGTTTATGAAGGCTTAAAATTAAAGTGCATTTTGTTTCCATACTTGGTATGGCTGTGGGGGGTTCCAGTAGCTTTCCCAAAATGCCTGTACACCTCTCTGGCCTTACGGGGTCCTGCGGACAAACCAGACAAATGCATTAACCCTGAGCTTAGCTCAAAACATCTAAATAGAAACAATTAAGCAACTCATTCAGGACACAAGCAGTTATAAAAAATAACTGAGAATGTTACGAGCATACTGACTGAACAGAATTTGTACTGAAGTAGTATCCTTGCTTTATGCTCACGTACCGGACAACAGAACGGTGCCATGTCCTCTAGGTGAAGTAAGTGCCAGCTGGTCAAAGGTCATGATCTGTCCACCAGCCTTCAAGATCCTGCTGCGAGCACGGTCGGTCAACTTCAGGGCACACACCTGTGAGAAGACACAGGAAAGAGAAATTATCATTAAGACGTTCAGACAACCTCACACTCTGTGCTCTCATCGTCAGGTGAAATACAACTAAAATACTCTGCAGTTGTTAAAACGTCAAGGCACCCAGAGACTTCAGGAATGCTTGTATCACAAAAACAACTACAGTCACGAAGAAACAAAGCAGTGAACACGGCCCCACTGTTTGTATTTGATTACTAAAAGCATCATTATCCTAGAAATCCAAGGCAAATCTTTACTGTGAAATTCAGAATCAGTGTACATTCATTTAAAGAGAAAAATTGCATATATAATTAACATTAACTTTTTCTGTGTTGCATTCTCAGCTCATTTTATACTATGATACAGCAGTTGTATACTTTCTATGCATGTCAATACTATTAAGCATTCAGAGCTAATGTTACGAAAAACTAAGAAACATTTCAACATCATATATTAATATAATTATACAATTACTATAATTTATGCATTTTATTTTATACTGAAGCAAAATGTCTTCATTCCCTAAAAAAGTGATTTAGTGAAAAAGAAAGCCTTTTCATTTACTGAAAATAGGACTACACAATATGAGGGTAAAATCTAATTATGACTTTTCTAATAAAAATGAATGAAAATGCAATTAAATAATAATTTAAAAAAATAATAATAATAATAAATTACAGGTTAGCTGTGCTTGTTTGTAGGGCCGCACAATTTGGCCAAAACTTTGACAACACGGCTATTAAATTATAAAAAATATATATAATACATTGTTGTTCTTATTACTAGTACTCAAATACATTAAACAAAGATTTAAAGAAAAATGATCATCATTTTAAATTCTACATTTTCAACCGTTCAACTGTTTTGTTGATAACTGCTTCCCATCACAAGTATGGAAAGATGAGTGGTGTATACTGCGGTCCCAAATGCACGTTAAACACTTAAAAAAGGAACAAAAACAATGTCATCGTGCACACATGCTGAGATACTGCTGTATCAAATGCCTTTCTACTTCCATCTTTTTTCCGCATAAATGCATCAGATTGGACAAACCATGATTGAATGTGCACTGGGTCATGTTTGCATGAACTACGGCAAGCTGAACTATGAAACTTTGCAGAGTTCCATCAACTCATTGTTTCTCAAACAGCAAGCTGGATCACTTCAGCAAACGTCCAGGAGAGCCACAGGATGACTTGAGCCCTATTTGCATGATAGTTGTTTCTCATGGAAACATCAGCAAAAATAAATCTGCATGGCTCCTTAGTCAAAAATTCCTTAGACAAGCCATAAATTACTATTTAATTTTATAATAGGAAAATTTCATATTTATGTATTATTCATTTAAATATCCTATTTAAATGACAGGAAAATGGACACGCTATTGGTTTAGATGTTTTTTTCTGTGCTGCATTTTGTGTCAAAACGATAGATGTCATTTAAATTAGAAATAAGTGAATGCATTCTCTCATTTACATAAGGTAAGAATTTGACTTAGGTACCTGGTTTCATTTTTTAATGTATATCGTACATATTTTAAAATTATATTGCATTTCTGTTGCAATAACGGACCATTTCAAATGCTCTTCTTTTTGTTCTTAACGGCTCCCAATCACTGTAGTATAGTGGTGATGAAATATTGTTATTGCAGCATTGTTCTTGGGTCCATCTTTAAAATGCATGTAGATTACCACAAAGCACAACTGTTACGGCACGGTGCTTGGCAGTGGTTAAAATGCATTTAACAAATTACTTTTGGATTTATGCCCTCTTACAATCTCAGAGATGTGGATTCAGAGGTCAATTAAATTACCACACGACCTTGGTGTTTATCAAGAAAACTATGGGATTACAATTCTGCACGCGAAAGATTATATTTTGCATTTAAAATAAGTTTTTGGATGTGTGCAGACTTTCTCTTTTGCGCGTGCAACGTTTCACTAGCTTGCTCACCTGATGCCAACAGCTCGCTTGCTCAACACAACCCAGTGTTACAATATGCCATAATTCCAGCCAATCAGAGACCGAGGCTGCTAAATTCTGATTGGCTGCCTTGACAACCAATCACAACATTTCTTGCATTACCTCGACAGCAGAATTCTAGTGAAATCAATTCACAGAGCAAGCTAGTGAAACGTTGCACGCACAAAACAGAAGGTCTGCACACATCCAAAAATGTATTTTAAATGCAAAATTGATTTCCGTGCGCTCGAAAGACTTTTTTCTTTGCGAAACAAACATTCTCCACAAAACTCAGATCGCGCGTGTGCAAAATTCACTTTTGTGCACTCAAAATATGATCTTTCGCGTGCAGAATTGTGGCAGAAATGTAATCCCACAGAAAACAGTAGGTAATTTGACCAGAAATCTTCACTCAGTGCTGGTAGAAAAACACAGAAATACTGGATTGAAACGGCAGTAAAATCACCGACAAGTCCCCGCAAATGCTGAAAACACCCTACATCCCCATGAAAAAAATTTCCATCTGAATAGGACATTACAAATTAAAAATTTAAATAGTCAAACTCAATTATAACGCTAAAATACACAAAATCTAACTAAAGTCATTTTCACCTTACAGTTCTCAAAACTTTAAAAACCCAAAATTATTTATGGTTAAAGTATATATTGACACTCCCAATTTGTAAAAAAAAACAAAAAACAAATACCAGAAAAAAAAAAATATTTGGCCCATATGGGAGGGGGGCACCGTATTATAAGATTTCTGCTATACAATAAAACAACAATAAAAAAATTATTTAAATTCCTTAAAGAAACGAGGGCACATTTAACTTGTTTTTTTGGACCAAAGTCTGCAATCACCGGGTTCAATCAAACAGTTCAGGATCTCATGAAAAAAATCATACGAATACATGGGCAGAATCAGAAACAAGACGGTTGTGCGGACAGACGGACCTCAAAGCTTATATAACATTCATTACACTTTCAATGTCTGGTCTTACCTTTAGTTTAGGGATTTTCTGAATCCTAACATCATCAGTAATCGTTCCCGCAACAACAGCGATGGCTCACCTGATGCCAACAGCTCGCTTGCTCAACACAACCCAGCGTTACAATATGCCATAATTCCAGCCAATACACAGAGAGAGAAAATCAGTAAACAACAGTGGAGCTAGGTGTCAGATGTAGCACGTTCTCAATACATCACTATAGCAAAGAACTTAACTAGCCGCAGACACATATTTGAGCAATGATGGCTAGAACTACAAAACCCACCATGCAATGAACACACCTTCACAGCACTCATATTAATACGTCTCAGATATGCAGCACCTCGCCTGGCTCGGAGAAGCGCAGTTAGCTTAGCCAGCACGAGTTTACTCAAGAACTCTTCCTTCCGTCTAAGCAATTCATTGAAATGGTAGCAAATGTTTTATGAATATCTGGGTATACAAAATCTTAGCGGCACGTGGTCGTCAGCCATCCGTAAGTCTTTTAACACGAACTCATCTCCGCGGCCCGATGTGCGTTAGCCGACATCGCGTTTACTCATTCATTTTACACATAATTCACAACGATACACGTTTTTCATTTGCATCGCTATGTACTGCTTCTAAACATCATCTGCGGCAGATTTAGAAGAGCTATAGCTGAGGATGGAGGTAGATTTCGGACACCGGTATATTCCGTGAGAAATCAAGCTACCTACCATCTTGGACTCAGAGTGAAAAGGGAAAATGAAAGCTCGCGAGCACACACACACACATACACAGAGAGAGAAAATCAGTAAACAACAGTGGAGCTAGGTGTCAGATGTAGCACGTTCTCAATACATCACTATAGCAAAGAACTTAACTAGCCGCAGACACATATTTGAGCAATGATGGCTAGAACTACAAAACCCACCATGCAATGAAAACACCTTCACAGCACTCATATTAATACATGTCTCAGATATGCAGCACCTCGCCTGGCTCGGAAAAGCGCAGCGTTAGCTTAGCCAGCACGAGTTTACTCAAGAACTCTTCCTTCCGTCTAAGCAATTCATTGAAATGGTAGCAAATGTTTTATGAATATCTGGGTATACAAAATCTTAGCGGCACGTGGTCGTCAGCCAGCCGTAAGTCTTTTAACACGAACTCATCTCCGCGGCCCGATGTGCGTTAGCCGACATTTACTCATTCATTTTACACATAATTCACGACGATACACATGTTTTTCATTTGCATCGCTATGTACTGCTTCTAAACATCATCTGCGGCAGATTTAGAAGAGCTATAGCTGAGGATGGAGGTAGATTTCGGACACCGGTACATTCCGTGAGAAATCAAGCTACCTACCATCTTGGACTCAGAGTGAATCAAGTCAATTCAAGTCAAGTTTATTTGTACAGCGCTTTTCACGATACAAATCATTGCAAAGCAACTTTACAGCAAATTAAGTCAATGAAAAAAAATATTTTTTTTCAAATCCATTTCAAAGGATGTCAATGATTGTCTTCTGGACAACTGTCAGATCAGCAGTCTTCCCCATGATTGTGTAGCCTAGTGAACCAAACTGAGAGACCATTTTGAAGGCTCAGGAAACCTTTGCAGGTGTTTTGAGTTGATTAGCTGATTGGCATGTCACCATATTCTAATTTGTTGAGATAGTGAATTTGTGGGTTTTTGTTAAATGTGAGCCAAAATCATCACAATTAAAAGAACCAAAGACTTAAACTACTTCAGTCTGTGTGCATTGAATGTATTTAATAAACGAGTTTCACAATTTGAGTTGAATTACTGAAATAAATGAACTTTTCCACGACATTCTAATTTATTGAGATGCACCTGTATTTTAAGTGCACTTTTTGTTGAAAGTCATTCTAAAACGCGTTTAACTAAACAAATAAATAAACATGTAGGGCGTATACTCAGCTGCGCGGTCTGTCGTAGCTACATAAAGTTTAAAAGAGGGTGATTGCAAGGTACATGAATACATGTCTTTAATGTAATCTTTAATGTTTTGTAGGGAAATTACATTTGCTAAAGTTTTTTTATTATTTTATTTTTTCTCAGCAAATTTGAATGACTGGTAGGCTATGGTAAAATTACCACTAAGACAGAAACAAATGTTTTTACTTTTAAGCAGCTGAAAAAACTTACAATTGACTTTTGAAAGATAAGCCACAGTGTTTTCTTAAAAAAAAAATTATAATGTATGTCCCTGATAAATAAATACATTCAATACATGCAATAATAATAATATCATTGTAGTTCCCCCATCATATAGTAACCAAATTCCTATTGTATTATTTGAAGAAATCTATAAACTCTCTCTCTAAGATTGAGAATGAAATGAAAATTCATTTTCTGAACTCTGCTTTTAGATCTTTTTGTGAACGATTCATCTGTGTACTGCCCACATATCAAAATCCAATCAACAACCGATGCATAGGAACCAAGTCCACACCCTTTTTCTTTTTTGATAAGCAGTTTTACTCCAATTTTTGTCACAATGTTGAAGTAAATATCTTTCGCTACCACCATTTCATCCCAAGTTTAATGTTTCTAAAAGAATACGTGTGAATGGGGTAAGAAATAATGTATGTTTATTATGTAGTAATTGTAGTAATTTAAATGATTAATTAATTTGTGGTTTACCCACTCCAATAGAATGGAGTCAAGCTAAATTATTTGTTTAAATCGCATTAAAATTAAACTTCAGCCAGCTTTAATGCATCCATTATGTTTAATATGTACATAGTTGCATATGTTGATTTAAGAAAGTGCATGTTTTAGTTAAATTCAAAAGCCAAGCAGCTGCAGAATAAAGTCTAGTCAGGAAGTCACTCTTCTGTTGCTTGAAATGACACAAGAAAACAGTCCAGCCAAGAGCAACTCCAACAAAAACAGTGCGAGCCACCGGCGGGATCAGCGAGAAGTTCACAGCCTGAGACATGAGAAAATGATCTCAGCAAATTTGAATGACTGGTAGGCTAAGGTAAAATTACCACTAAGACAGAAACAAATGTTTTTACTTTTAAGCAGCTGAAAAAACTTACAATTGACTTTTGAAAGATAAGCCACAGTGTTTTCTTTAAAAAAAATTATAATGTATGTCACTGATAAATAAATACATTCAATACATGTAATAATAATAATATCATTGTAGTTCCCCCATCATATAGTAACCAAATTCCTATTGTATTATTTGAAGAAATCTATAAACTCTCTAAGATTGAGAATGAAATGAAAATTCATTTTCTGAACTCTGCTTTTAGATCTTTTTGTGAACGATTCATCTGTGTACTGCCCACATATCAAAATCCAATCAACAACCGATGCATAGGAACCAAGTCCACACCCTTTTTCTTTTTTGATAAGCAGTTTTACTCCAATTTTTGTCACAATGTTGAAGTAAATATCTTTCGCTACCACCATTTCATCCCAAGTTTAATGTTTCTAAAAGAATACGTGTGAATGGGGTAAGAAATAATGTATGTTTATTATGTAGTAATTGTAGTAATTTAAATGATTAATTAATTTGTGGTTTACCCACTCCAATAGAATGGAGTCAAGCTAAATTATTTGTTTAAATCGCATTAAAATTAAACTTCAGCCTTTAATGCATCCATTATGTTTAATATGTACATAGTTGCATATGTTGATTTAAGAAAGTGCATGTTTTAGTTAAATTCAAAAGCCAAGCAGCTGCAGAATAAAGTCTAGTCAGGAAGTCACTCTTCTGTTGCTTGAAATGACACAAGAAAACAGTCCAGCCAAGAGCAACTCCAACAAAAACAGTGCGAGCCACCGGCGGGATCAGCGAGAAGTTCACAGCCTGAGACATGAGAAAATGAGGAAACCTCTTACAAGCAGAATATATTAACGAATGGATGGACTACTATAGTACCTGCATTGTTGACCAATAGCCTACACTACTCCAGTCAACCAGAGAGAGAGAGAGAAAAAAATAGTCAATCAATGTGTCAGAATTGATCCTGAACCTTTAATATTTACATTTATGTAGAATAGTTCCTGTGTTGCTTGTGTTTACCTTATACAAGGTCCAGAATTAATTTCTCCAGTCTTCAAGGGGATCCTCTGCGCCCTCCAATGTGCTCAGCCCTTTAGAAGTGTAATAAATGCTGTAAAACCTTTCCGACTATGAATTAATTCATATGCACAGATTTATGTTTATGCATTGATTTCCTTCAATTATATAAGTGGAAGTATGATGAAAAACCTCTGGTTCTCACCAATGTAGAAAGCACTTATTGTCATAGGGGCTGCAAACAGCTGGTCCAGAAACACTTTAAGTGACACTCTTCTGATCCCTCCTCTTGGAAACATCTTCTCCAGTCCCTGTAGCCAATGGTAATTGAAGTTGGCATGGAAACAGGACCAAACCAGCGCCACCTGAGCAGTCTGGGCCCAGTCGATGCTGTCAAGCTGTGGAGCATGTTGCATTGGATCTGACGGTTTAATTTCTTCCCAAGCTTTTTTATTTCCCTCTGATACACTTATTTTGCTATCATCATCTGTCTCTGCTTCTCCAGCCACAGTAAATCCCTCAGCTGATGTGTTGGAGGTATCTTGTCCCACTCGATCCAGTACTGTCCCTTTGTCCTGAGCTTTTCCCATCATGCTTTGCTGAATGAGGTCTGCTGTGGCAAAACGTGTTGTGTATCCCACCACATTGGAGATATGGATGGGATTTGAACAAAGCACATGCTCTGTTCATGATGACCACAAGACAGGGATGATACATATTTTAATAAACTGAAGTATGCACATTGTTTTGGCCTGATCTACAATAAATGTAATTTCATCCAAAAATGTGTGTATTTAAAAATTTTTTTTTTTTTTACAAATGACGATTAGATAGATAGATAGATAGATAGATAGGTAGATAGATAGACAAGAATGTGAGAAAAGAACACAAGTATGAGGGAATGTTACAAAAGGGAAAGGCATTTAGCTAATGATCGGTGTACAATTTATTGCTAATAGTGAAATGCATGATAATCACAAAATGAAATGCAGAAATCAGATGCACAATATGAAGTATAATTAATTTGTGGTTTACCCACTCCAATAGAATGGAGTCAAGCTAAATTATTTGTTTAAATCGCATTAAAATTAAACTTCAAGCTTTAATGCATCCATTATGTTTAATATGTACATAGTTGCATATGTTGATTTAAGAAAGTGCATGTTTTAGTTAAATTCAAAAGCCAAGCAGCTGCAGAATAAAGTCTAGTCAGGAAGTCACTCTTCTGTTGCTTGAAATGACACAAGAAAACAGTCCAGCCAAGAGCAACTCCAACAAAAACAGTGCGAGCCACCGGCGGGATCAGCGAGAAGTTCACAGCCTGAGACATGAGAAAATGAGGAAACCTCTTACAAGCAGAATATATTAATGAATGGATGGACTACTATAGTACCTGCATTGTTGACCAATAGCCTACACTACTCCAGTCAACCAGAGAGAGAGAGAGAAAAAAATAGTCAATCAATGTGTCAGAATTGATCCTGAACCTTTAATATTTACATTTA